AAACATTAATAATGGGAACATGGAATGTATGAAATACGAATATAGGAAAATTGGAAGGTGTAAAAAATAGAATACATAAAGATCAATATCCTAGGCATTAGTGAGCTGAAATGGACTGGTATTGGCGGTTTTGAATTGGACAATCATATGGTCTACTATGCTGGGAATGAAAAATGAAGAGGAATGGCGTGGCGTTTATTGTCAACAAGAACATTTCAAGATCTATCCTGAAGTACAGCACTGTCAGTGATAGGATAATATCCATATACCTATAAGGCAAACTAGTTAATACGACTATTATTCAATTTTACGCACCAACCACTAAGGCCAAAGATGAAGAAATTGAAGATTTTTACCAACTTCTGCAGTCTGAAATTGATCACACATGCAATCAAGACACATTGATAATTACTGGCGATTGGAATGTAAAAGTTGAAAACAACGAAAAAGGGACAATATTTGGAGAATATGCCCTTGGTGATAGAAATGATGCTGGAGATCGCATGATAGAATTTTGCAAGACCAATGACTTCTTCATTGCAAATACTTTTTTCTAACAACTTAAAACAGCGACTATACGCGTGGATCTTACCTGATGGAATACACAGGAATCAAATTGACTACATCTGTGGAAAGAGACAATTGAAGAGCTCAACATTATCAGTGAGAACAAGACCAGGGGCCGACTGCGGAACAGACTATCAATTGCTCATATGCAAGTTCAGGCTGAAGTTGAAGAAAATTAAAACAAGTCCACAAAAGCCAAAATGTGACCTTGATTATATCCCACCTGAATTTAGATTAAAGGTGTGTCAAGGATTTCATTTTACTTGGATCCAAAATCAACACTCATGGAAGCAGCAGTCAAGAAATCAAACAATGCATTGCCTTGGGCAGATCTGCTGCAAAAGGCCTCTTTAAAGTGTTAAAAAGCGAAGAAGTCACTTCAAGGACTTCGGTGAGCCTGACCCAAGCCATATGCATGTGAAAGCTAGACAATGAATAAGAAAGACTGAAAAAGAAAGGATGCCTTTAAATTATGGTGTTGGTGAGGAATATTGAATATAACATGGACTGCCAGAAGAACAAACCTGTCTTGGAAGAAGTACAGCCAGAATGCTCATTAGAAGCGTGAATGCCAAGACTTTGTCTCATATACTTTGGACATATAATTAGGAGGGACCAGTCCCTGGTGAAGGACATCATGTTTGGTAAGGTAGAGGGTCAGCAAAAATAAGGAAGACCCTCGAGAGATGGATTGACACAGTGCCTGCAGTAATGGGCTCAAATATAGCAATGATTGTGAGCATGATGCAGGACTGGGCAGTGTTTCATTCTGTTGTACATAGGGCAGCTATGAGTTGGAACTGACTTGACGGTACCTAACATCTGCACTTTGATTTTATAAAAGTTGCCTAGGGTCATTGCCTTATACAATATGTGTGTATGTATTTATGTATATTTTAGGTATTTATAATATAATGTATTTAAATTTTGTTTATATTAGACACCTTTTTTTTTATAGAAAATATAAGCTTCAGAGAGTTTAATCAGAATTTTTAAATGTAAACTTTTTCAAAGGATACCCTATGTAAGTTAGAGATGGTTATTCATTCGCTATAAAAAATACATGGAGTAGTGTACCAAGATGTTATTTTTTGTTTTGTGTTTTTTTTTGTGTGTATTTTTTTCTACAAAGATCAGTAATGTATGAAGAAATATAACAGGTTCTAAAATAGTTGTGACGTTTATGAGTTATACTGGCTTTAAAATTTTTTCTTTATGAAATGGCACGTTTTTACTGTAATAGTATCTCTAAACTAGGATATACCCTATACTTTTCTATTTGTATGGAAAAAAAAAAATACAAGGCAAGGCAGACTAGTGCTTATTGAGGATACTGAGGTTATGAAAAACGTAACAGCCATAAGTTACACAACCAACAAGTACTCAAGCTAGGACACAAATCCAAGTTCTTTAGATTCTAAAATTGATATTCTAATCCGTTTATAGTTAACTATGTGAACAGCTTATTGGTAAACATAGACCTCTAATATGCATAATTCCTGCCTTATAAATCACATTTTCTTATATGTCAGTTTATTTTCTTCCAGCAAAATTATTTGAAAAATTAGTTTATTTCAGTTCTCCAGTGGTTGTTTTCATTCATTTATTCAAATAATATTTATTGGGCTCTAGGAGGATATTATGCAAACTAGACAGATAAATTCCTAAACTCATGAACATATTTCCATATCACAACCTTGTTGGGCTCTTTAAAATAATCACTGTGAGAAGTTTTTCACTGATTCTAGAGATGTGTCTATCACTCACAATATTTTGGGAATGTATCTGTTTCAGAATTGTTTTCACAGTCTCTTAGTGTTCAACAAATCCTAAATGATTAAGTGATTGCTCTTAGGATATATATTTTAATTTTGGAAATAACTGAACAGCATTCAAACCTAAAGGTAATTAATAAGTTCCATAGTCAAGTTAAAGAATCCTTTTTTTAAAATCAGGTTATTTGGTATACTTACTTATTCATTACAATCACAAAGTATGATGGGCTCCTTTCTCTGAATTGTAATGTAAATCTAGTCGCAGTCCCATCAAGGAATTCTATTTTTTTGTAGAAATGGAAGAATGCTTGGAACATTTCTTCTTAAAGCTTCCTGATCTAGCTTTGGAAAGAAGCACTTGTATGTTTAGTCACCTGTTTTTTTTTTGAACATTTTATTATGCTTTAGGTGAAAATTTACATAGCAACTTAGTTTTCCAATCAATAATTCATACACAAATTGTTCCATGCCTTTGTTTGTAATCCCTGCAATGTGTCAGCACTCTCCCCATTTCCTCCCTGGGTTGACTGTTTCCATTTGTCGAGTTTGCCTGTCTCTCCCTGCCTTCTCATCCTTGGTTTTGGGCAAATGTTACCCTTTTGGTCTGGTATAGTTGATTGTTCTAAGGAGCACATTCTTCACAGGTGTTATTGTTTATTTTATATACCCATCTATTATTTCGCTGAAAGGTGGCCTCCAGGAGGGTTTTCAGTTTCAAGTTAGAAGATTGTCTCTGGACAGTAGTCTTGGGGGTTCCTACCATCTCTATCAGACCAGCAAGTTGGGTCTTTTTTTTTTTTTTTTTAATATGAATTTTGTTCTGTGTCTTTTACCCATCCTAGCCAGGACCTTCTGTTGTGATCCCAATCAGACTGATCAGTAGTGGTAGCCAGGTACCATCTACTTCTTCTGGTCTCAGGGTAGAGGAGGGTGTGGTTCATGTGGGCCATTAGTCCTTTGGACTAATTGCTTTTTGAGTCTTTGTTCATTCTCCTTTGCTCCAGGTGGAAAGAGACCAATAGTTGCTCCTTATATGTCCACTCCCAAGCTTTTAAGACCCCAGATGCTACTTACCAGACTACGATGTAGAACATTATCTTTATGAACAGTGTTTTGCCAACTGACCTGGATGTCCTCTATGGTCTTTAGCTTTCAAGCCCCATAGTTCAGTCCCAATGTTTAAGTAGTTTCTATAACTGTGCCCCCTATGTGCTCTGTTGTATATGTGAATATACATGCAGCATTTACAAGTATGTATGTAGAACTATATATCCATAACCATAAGTATATATGAATGCTGGTGTACCCCATATGTCCTCCTATGCCTATTTAGCATACATGTTTACCTGTATATATACTCACAAATTATGGTTTGTTATTAGTGTTGTTGCAGGATTGTACATTTTATAGAATTTACTGTAGTTTTTCATTATTCTTATGAACCTCTCAGTGTCTTCCTTTGGCTTGGTCACATTGTGCTGACTTCCCTCATATTGTGTATTGCCTTTCCATGTAACAGAAGTAACACTTGTCTATTATTTAGTTAGTAATTCTCCCTGTACCACCACCCCCACCTTCCATCCCAAACCATCAAAGAATGTTTCTATGTGTAAACCTATTCTTGACTTTTTATAATAGTGGTCTCATACAATATTTGTCCTTTTGTGATTGACTTATTTCACTCAACATAATATCTTCCAGATTCATCCACCTTGTGAGATGTTTCATAGATTCATTATTATCGTTGTATAGTATTCCATTGTATGTATGTACCACATTTTGTTTATCCATTTATCTGCTGATGGACACTTAGGTTGTTTCCATCTTTTTGCTATTGTGAATAATGCTACAATGAACATGGATGTGCATATGTCTATTCATGTCACAGCTCTTATTTCTCTAGGATATATACCTAGGAGTGGGATTGCTGGATTGGAAGTTATTTCTGTTTCTAGCTTTTTAAGAAAGTACCATATGGTTTTCCATAATGGCTGTACCATTTTGTAGTCCCTCCAGTAGTGCATAAGTATTCCAATATCCCCACAGCCTCGAAAGCATTTATCGTTCTGTTGTTGTTTTTTTTTTTATCAGTGCCATTATTGCCAGTGTGAGATATCTCATTGTAGTTCTGATTTGCATCTTTCTAATGACTAATAATCACAAGCATCTTTTCATGTGTTTGTTAGTCACCTGAATGTCTTCTTTGGAGAAGTGTCTGTTCATGTCTTTTGCCTATTTTTTGATTGGATTGTTTGTCTTTTTGTTGTTCAGGTGTTGAAGTTTTTCTATAAATTTTAGGGATTAGAACCTTGTCAGATATGTTGTTGACAAAATTTTTTTTCCCCAGTCTGTAGGCTTTCTTTTTACTCTTTTGGTGAAGTCTTTTGAGGAGCATAAGCATTTAAATTTTAGGGGGTCTTAGGTTATCTAGTTTATCTTGTGCCATTTGCGCACTTTTTGCTTGATAGTTTATGCCATAAATTAAGGCCCCTAATCAACTCAGTGGCAATGGGGTTTTAGGCTTGACCCTATGTTTTCTTCCATGAACTTTATAGTTTTAGGTTTTGTATTTAGGTCTTTGATCCATGTTGAGTTAGTTTTTGTGTATAGTGTGAGGCATGGATCCTGTTTCATTTTTCTGAAAATGGATATCTGGTTTTGACAGCACTATTTATTAAAGAGACTATTTATTCCCTATTTAATGGTCCTTGACCCTTTGTCAAAGATCAGCTGTCCATAGGTGGATGGATTACTTCTGGGTTCTCAATTCTGTTCCATTGGCCTTTGTGTTTGTCATTGTACCAGTACCACACTATTTTGACTACCGTGGCTGTATAGCAGGTTCCGAGATTGGGAAGTATAGCAGGTTCCAAGATTGGGAAGTTTGAGGCTTCCTATTGTCTTCTTCTTCTTTAATAATACTTACTTATCCGGGGCCTCTTTCCTTTCCATATAAAGTTGGTGATTTGTTTTTCCATCTTGTTAAAGAATGTTGTTGGAATTTGAATCACCTGTTTTTTTAAAATAGAAAATCTCATTGGTCTGTGGACATACCTTGAACACTTGGTCTGTCTCTGGATAGAAAAAAGGATATGAGAAATAACACACAAATATAGAAAGGGAAAAATAATGCCAAAGTGAAGAGAGTGTTTTTTCTTGAATTGTTTGAGAGAATGTTCACATGAATAGCAGGAATTTTTTACCACTTTTTGTGTTTTTTATGCATAGGCGTGGCTTCCCTCCATTTTTGCCTAACTCTGATGTCAACTTTTGTCGAACATTCCTGATCTTTACTATGGTAATGATGTTGGGTCATTTAAATTATGCATGTAGTATGGTTACTTGAGATGTGTCTTCTTCTCTATTAGATTCTAAAAGCAGACACTGTATGTTTCATTAATGTTTGTTTTCCTTAAGGTCCTATCACAATTCATATGAAATGAGTGAATGGATGAGTATGTGATCAGAAGAGATTCTGTATAAGACAATATTACTGGGTTGGTATGCAACTGTGTTTGTAATTCTATAAGGAACAAAGTAAGGGTTATACAGTGAAAGATCTACTTTTGTCAGAGAGGAAAAAAGAAAGAATTAAGAAAAAAGAGTCTCAAAATTCTAACTACTAATGAACAGGAGAATATATACATTATGCATTGGGAGTATAGCTGAGGTCAAAGTTGATTTTTGCAAGAAGGAGGATGTTAGCTTAAAGAAAATATGTATGAAGATCATATATGCTTTACAGTTATTGCATTTTGGGAAATATTAAGCTCTGAAATGCTATGAACTATCTATAAGTTCTATACTTAGGTTTATAGAAAGAAACTTTATCGTAAAAATGAATAAGAAAGGGTGACTCAGTATTTTTAACATTTTCATCATTAAACATTTATGATGTCTCAACTTATAGTTTTACAGGTACCTACAGAATATTGAACCTACAGATCCAAGATCCTTAAGACTTTATCACCTTTATCAAGGATTTATTTGATATCCTCCTTGGTCTTAATATCAAGTAACAGTTTTTTTTAAAAAAATTGACGTATTTTCCCTAACGGGATTTAAAAAATACTACTACTCAGACTTTCCAATGCCTAAGAATAGCAAGGTGGTAAAAAGAGAATTAGATGATGAGGTTATCGAATCTGTCAAAGACCTTCTTTCAAACGAAGACTCAGCTGAAGATGCTTTTAAGAAGAGTGAACTGATTGTTGATGTTCAAGAAGAGAAAGATACAGATGTTGAAGAAGGATCTGAAGTTGAAGATGAAAGACCAGCTTGGAACAATAAACTACAATACATCCTGGCACAAGTTGGATTTTCTGTAGGTTTAGGGAATGTGTGGCGATTCCCATACCTATGTCAGAAGAATGGAGGTGGTAAGTACTTATTTTTTAAGTGATACATTATTGTAGTAAATTGCAATTGAATTCCTCATTGTTGCTACAGTCTCGTTGTTTTAGAAACTATGAGTTCCATTGTAAAGCTAAAGATTCCTTTGGGGGACGTAAACCTAGCTGTTTTCAGATTAGGTTTCCATAGAAGTAGATTGATTTGCAGGGGATAGGTAATGATTGCTTAAGGGTCCTAAATTCTCAAAGTCTATCTGTGTATCTATAAATATCTCTGAATTACTGATCTACACTTCTTTAAGAAGTGTGTTATCTCTTGTGTCTGTTTGAAGAATCTAAAGTTTTTGATGTAAGAGAAATTGGGGAAGAAAGAATTTTCTCCCTGTGGCTTATTAACTCTGAATTTTAAGTTGCCTCACTCTTCAAAAAAGCAAAGATGATATATAATTTGGAGTGATCAAGATCTTCATATGCTCACCAGAAATTTGTAGATCCCATTAGAAGGGATGTAAATATATAATAAATATAATGCCAGACATTCGTCATTCTTAGATATCTTCCATATTTGATTCCCTATTTTATAGTGTCTTAGGACAGTGTTCAGTTTCAAAGAAAACTTTAAAGAAATTAGCATCCTTAATTTTAAAAGGAGGTATCTGCATCATCATTGATATTTTTACTTTTTTGTACTTGTGCCTGTAATTACTAAGAGCAACTTAGGAAAAATTGTCTTAGAAATCAAGAAAAAAAAAACATAAAAAGGAATTGATTATTTGTGTAGGATGTTAGCTCTATAGCACACCAAAATCAAACGGAATGCTATATTAACTAACGTCTGAGTTGAAAATTATCTATTTCCATGAAAGATGTTAAAGTAAGTGTGGTTAAAACTAAATATTCCATAAACTGTGCATTTCAGCCGGCATAGACTAGAAAGAACATATCGGTATGTGATTCCAGTTTGTGATAGTTTTGTTGACTGGACAAAAATATGATTTTTATTTTTAATATAACTTTAATCTACAAAACCCTTCATCAAATATACCCATTAAAATGTGAAAATACTTCTTAGCCACTAAAAGAGATACAAATGCTAATGTGTTATGGTGACTAAATATATTTAAGATCTTTCTTAGTTAATTTAACCAGGCACAAACAAGAAGTTTGGAAAAAGTAGCTTATTTGACAAATCTGCCTGAGAACTAAAAATCAATACATGAAGTTGGTGATATACCACACATCATTCTACAAAACTGTAAGCTCTCTAGCTAGTTGGTAACATCACATATGAATTATTTATCAAATCAGCTATAAGTAATTATGTACTGCCTTGCTTTTTTGCTTTTCACAAATCATTCCATTTGCCAAGACTGATGGAAGATTAATTCTGATTCCTTTCACCTTGCAAACCTTCTTAAGGAAGATGACTGTTTTGGCTGAATTGTTAGGTTGCCTTCCATTTGGTAAAATTTTTTTTTTGAAGAGCCCTGAATGATTTCTTATTTAGTAATTGCTAGCAAAAATGGCTTTTTCATATGTAAAAGAGTCAAAATGCCCTTCATAGTGTTGTGTCCTCTTTTCTATACACAAATACTAAAGAGAGGTAGTGCATCTATTGTACAATACAAATTGACTTTATTTCAAGATGACTGTTAAGAGTACAAAATGCTGACTCTATATGCAGTACAGCATTGAGCCTTCTAGATACTCGAGTAGTATATTCTGATTGTTTAATCAAACAGCTCAGGCTACCTAAATCTTATCCATCAATCATATGAGGCACTTTATGAGTAATAGAGCTAAAAGGTAATAGCTAAAACATAACTTGTCTAAACATATTATACTTAAAGCACAATGGTTAAGTTTGATAAGTGGTATAGTCTAGAGGATAAGAGGTCAGGTTTTAAAGTCAGTTTGATAGTTTGAAGCCTAACTCTTTCCAACACTAGCCATGTGACCTTTTATAACTTATCTCACTTATTTGCCCTTGGTTCTCATACCTGTAAAATGGGGATAATAATGGTACTTTCCTCACTGAATTCTTTTGAGGAATAAGACTACGTGGAACATGTTTGGAAATGTGCTTGGCAAATAGTAAATGCTCAATTAAGCCTTTAACTATGATTATTTTTAATATGGGAGCTAATGTTAGAGTAAATGCAATTAGAAGAAAAGGCTAAGTATCCAGTAGCATGCCATTCACACTTGACAGAGCAAAGAATCCCAGTGAGTCCAGTTTTATTCATTCCTGTTTTTTTGTAGCCATGCACACACAGATACACCCACTCACACTCTGGAACTATTAAAATGTGCTTTCATTTGTCTCTTGTTGTTGTTTCAGTTCTTTAGGAAACACTTTCATGTCAATCTGTGAACGTTACTAATTATTTTAGAATTAGGATTTTGATAGCTCTGTTTTATAAGCCAATACATCCATACTATATGTTCCCCTTTACAGAATCAACTAAGTCCAAAAGACTGACAATTAACCCTAAGAAGATAGAGATTATATACCCAGCACTAACTTAGGGGAATACTCTTGTATGCATTCTTTATTGCAGAGATATTTAGATACTGAGATAAATAATTCTTAAAAATCCATTGATTTTTACTTCTTCAGCAGAATAACCACCAGAACAATTTGAAAAACCTCCAAAGTCTATTCAGATGCAATTAGACACTTATTTTAAAATAGAAAAAAAACATAGTAAATAGCTTTTTAAAAAATTTTTTGTATCATCAGTTAAATTACATGCGTGACATTATCTGATTAGACAAAACTTCAGAGAAGAAATTTGAAGGAAGTCCGTCTCTGAGGATATTTAGTAAATAATTTACATATGTATTCCCATATAGAAATGAGTAGAGGTCAAATATTTAATTTTTAAAATCCAATAAATAGTATCTAATGTCTTCTATTTGAGTAACATTGCCAAACTATTCAGTACATTTTTTAGTCATTAGTCATATGTCTTGAGATTTACTGAAAAATAATATTTAAGTATGGAAACTTTACTACAAGGCAAATAGTGCATACATTTTTATAATAGACATTGAATGCCTCGTGAATGAGCTTGAGCTCTAAATTGTTTTACCAAAATCTAGCTTATTTTAGTATTTTTTTCAACCATTCCCACCACTCCTTTGCAGAATTCTAGAAAAAAAAAATTATTAGTTTCTTGAACTGTACTTTTCATATAAAATGTATGCCGGGAAAAATGATATTGTATTTCCTTTTTTTATTTTTTCTTTTCAATCTAGGCAGTCATTTCTTCTTCCATGATGTTATTTGATTTAGGAAAATAAGTCAGCTTTTAAAACAAAGTCTCATTCATTCTAAATTATCAAGTTCCGAATGCATGACACTTTAGATGGTTTGGGATAAAATTTAATAAATGATTTGATAAACTTTGTGTGAATAATATGTCCAGGAGTTCATGAAACCTACTCAAGAAAATAATCAATTTTAAAAATCAATTATTTTTATGCAAAAGGAAGCTGTTTTACCCTTTTAATAACATGAAACTAAAACCAACTTTTTCCAGAAATACTTCGTAGCAAATTCAGGTGTCAATTTTTACAAATTTTAAAGTAATGTAATGGCATTTTCTTTAAAGTTCTCTATAATTATACTGTATACAAGCTCAAATATTGCTTTTCATGAGAATTATGATTAGTGTCTTCTCTATTGTGAATATTGGAAAATATAGTTTATTTTATTTGTTCTCGTCCCTGTAGGTGCATATCTTTTGCCATATTTTATACTGCTTATGGTAATAGGTATTCCTCTTTTTTTCCTGGAACTTTCTGTGGGTCAAAGAATTCGACGAGGCAGCATTGGCGTGTGGAATTACATAAGCCCTAAACTGGGCGGGATTGGATTTGCCAGTTGTGTAGTAAGTTTCCTGGTATGGTATATGGAATAATTTTTATAGGGCTTGGGACTATATTGTTCACGTATAATTGAAACCTCTATGTGTTTCTTCTCACCTCTTCAGTTATCTTTAAAAAACACTACTGTAGCACGTGCTAATACATAAAATCAGCTGTAAATGTTAATATAGCTCAATCTTATTAATTTATGTTCCTAAGGTCTGTAAGAAAAGGAGCCCTGGTGGCACAGTGGTTAAAGCACTCGGCTGCTAACCAGAAGATCAGCAGTTCGAACCCACCAGCCACTCCGTGGAAAAAAGATGTGGCAATCTGCTTCCATAAAGTTCACAGCCTTGGAAACCCTATGGGACACTTCTGTGCTGTCCTATAGGGTCGCTCTGAGTTAGAATCAACTCGATGGCAATGGGTTTGGTTTGTTCTTTGGTTTAAGGCCTATAAGAGAGATGAGTTTTGTTTTGAAAGATAATTTGTTTCAAATAGAAAATAAAATGAGTTAGCTGGTGTTTTACGCATTTCATCTTATTGTTTCAAAGGAAAGCATGAGAGTTTTAATGTAATCACATTATTTTATTTTTCAGGTGTGCTTTTTTGTGGCTCTCTACTACAATGTCATCATTGGCTGGAGTTTGTTTTATTTTTCTCAGTCTTTTCAGCAACCTCTACCTTGGGATCAGTGTCCTTTGGTGAAAAATGCTTCACATACTTGTAAGACATGAATAATGTAATGATTTTCCATTTAAAGATCATAAGATTGGTAAAGGCACATACTTTCAAAAGAGTTTTTCTTTTTTTACAGTAATATGGAAAAATATTTTCAAAATTGTTTCCATAACAAACTTGTCTCACGTTTTAGATTGGCATACTCAGAGATAGACCTTCGGCACAATCTAATTTTACTATCTCTTCCCAAGTCATTTTATTGTGCCCCATGCCGTTAGGGTAAAAGATTGTAAGCCTTCAGGTGTGAACTCTGTACATCTCTTATTTTGTACATCCTCTTGATACCTTACATTTTCATTAAAATAAAACAGAACAAAAAGAAGAATTTGGATTGCTCTAACTGCTTTTATTTCTTTGGGTCTGTTTCATAGTTTTCTCATTTTTTTTATATCAGAGGATTAAATAAAGAAAAACTTCCTGTAGTAGCAATGTCTAATAGCTATATAATGCAAGTCACACGTGTAATTTTACATTTCAGGTAGCCACATTTAAAAAAGTAGAGAGGGTGAAATATTTTATTAACCCAGTATATCCAAAATATTATCATTTCAACATATAATATAAAATTACTAATGTAATAATTTACAGTATCTTTCTCACACTGGGCCCTGGTGGTGCAGTGGTTAAGCATTTGTCTGGTAACCAAAAGGTCAGCAGTTCGAATCCACCAGCCGGTCTTTGGAAACCCTATGGGGCAGTTCCACTCTGTCCTGTAGGGTCGCTATGAGTCAGAATCGACTTTATGGCAACGGTATTTTTTTTTCTCATACTGTCTTCAGAATCTGGTATATATTTTACATTTACATCACTTCAGACTAGCCCCATTTCAGAAGCCTTGTGTGGCCAGCAGCTATTGCATTTGACAGCACTGCCCCTAGATGGTCAGTCAGATAATTGTGGAGGTGGGAGAGGTGATAAATCTGAATTTGTTATAATTACTTTGATAAAAAGCACACGTATTCTTACTTCAGAAATGCATAATACGAAATATCAAAGAGGATGCATGTCTATTGGTTCTTCACATTTTTGCACATTTTCTTCCTTGTCATGAATGTAAATGCTGTTGTAAAATGGTAGTGCATTTCTAGAACATGTTAGGAATTGATTTATAGGCTTACTTTATTTATTCTAAAATGGTAATGTGTTTCCTATCTTTCTACAGTTGTGGAGCCTGAATGTGAAAAAAGTTCCGCCACCACCTATTATTGGTACAGAGAAGCACTGAATATTTCCAGTTCCATGTCTGAAAGTGGGGGCTTAAACTGGAAGATGACCATCTGCTTGCTGGCTGCCTGGGTCATAGTTTGCTTGGCTATGATCAAAGGCATTCAGTCTTCTGGAAAAGTTAGTATGTTAGAGCCCCGCCTCATTCTACTTATCACCATTTCTGGGTACCCACATCCCTTTCAGGCTCCACTATAAATCTCTGTGGGCAAACTGCAAATAGAGATTCATTCTAAGTCGTTAATTCAAAGGAGACAGCGATTGGTAAAAAGTGGTGATTTTTAAAAGATGTTTAAATTAAGGAAAATATGTAAAGTAAGATATAGTGTTTTATGGCGGAAACTTGTGTCTTAAAATCTTTCCCTGTTTCATCAAGATGTTCTTTAAAATTTTTGTCTGCGCCTCACAATCCTTTATCTTTTTGTTTTAGTTCTCTGATTACAATTAGTTCTACTCATGGAAACTGGGGAAATTGGTAGAACGAATAATTTCATTTAATTTGTTTTATGTCATCCTTTTCTCCTTACTGTAGGTGTTTTGAGATATAGTTGCATAAAGAATTTTAAAATAACATGTTTTGAGTGTTTCTCAAAGCTTTGAACATCATTTGGTAAAATAATTCAGGTAACAACACATAAAAATAAAGCATGGTAAGGAGATAGTGATGAGGGTGGCAGTTTAGATCTAGCTGATTAGGTAGAAATAAACCTATTTTTTGTTTGTTTGTTTTTATATTATAAATATTTTATTGTGTTTTCAGTGAAGGTTTAAACAGCAATTTAGGTTCACATTCACCAATTTCTACACAAATTGTTCCAGGACATTGGTTAGCATTCTTAATGATGTGTGAACATTCTTATTATTTCTGTTCTGGTTGCTCTGTTTACGTTAATCTCGTTTCCCTGCCCCCCTTACCTTCTCATTTTTGTTTTAAAGTAATTGTTGACCATTTGGTTTTGTATAGATAGTTTTTTAAAGGGGCACAGTACTCACAGGTGATATTCTTTATTTTGTGTGCTAATCTGTTAAGAAATTAATCTATTTTTAATAATACTATCTGAATATTTTCCTGTAAGAAGATGAGAGCCATATCATTAAATGCAAAGAATTTGTGTTTAAAAACACAACATGAACATCTTTAAAGTGCCGAGTTACAATGCATCCTCACATCTCAGAAATTAGTAATTAAATATTTTAATTAAATATTAATATTAAATATTACAGAAGAAGAAAATTGGAGTGTGACTACTTAATACTACTTCTTGTTTTCATGTACCATCAAGTTGATTCCAACTCATAGAGACCCTGTAAGACAGTAGAACTGCCCCATATCACCGGGTCTTTTCTCCCGAGGAGCAGCTGGTGGGTTCAAACCCCCAACATTTGGTTAGCAGCTGAGTGCTTAATCTTGACCTTTATTTTTCTCCATGTTTTATGATTGAACATTTCCTCTTTCTTCTTAGGAAGCTGTTAGAGGGTCATCACTGAGTCAAGATCAGTGTCTAGTAACCACTAAGAACCCAAATATTTGTTGAATTTATAAGTAAAATTGAAATAAGTGCAATCATGTAATTAGTATATAGTTTAAAAAATACTGCAGAATAAAGGTTAAGT